GTTGTGGGGCTAATCTCCCTTCTCGATGGCTAATAAGAAGTTCAATCTCTTTAGGTCTTACCAACTCTTCAAGCTTGACTTCAGGAAAGAATCTCTGCAATTGCTTAGGTTTTATGACCTTGTGCACTTTAGCAATTTCATCCAAGCCGTAACAAAGAAGCTCATGTGCTCTTTCTTTGTCCTCTTCAGTCTTTATTCTGACTCGAAGCAGATATCGCTTGGTCTTCACCTTGATGGCCATTCCAGCAACTCCATGCACTATCAGTGTGACATCTTCGCTCCTTAACCTCAAGCGTCCTGCAGCCTTGTGGGTTATATAGTTAGTATCTGATGCAAGATCTACCAAAGTTCCAACCCTCTGCCCCGCATTGGCGGTTACTTCCATGAGCATCATGATGACAGGTAGTTCTTGTACCCCACTTTCCTCTAGAAGGCCAACTTGGGTTTTTCCTGTGCGGGTCACTGTTGCAGCTTTGTTGGTGAAGGCATTTCTGCACCGCTCAGCAAGCTCTGGGGAAAGTTCAGCTAAAAGTTCCTCCTGCTCCGCTGTAAGCACATTTACTTTCCTGCTATCATTTAAAAACCTTTTCTCAGTGCCAGTCGTGGATTCTCTTCTTGGACAGATGAAATAATGATGATCTGGGGCATTTTCTCTTCTGCAATCTCTATTTTTACACAAGAATGTGTCTCTACAGTCTGCGTTACCTTCATGACATCCAAGGCACTTCTTACATGCTCCAATCTTCTTTAGAGCAGCTTTCTTTTCAGCTAGCTTTAGCTCCTTAAATTTTTTACAGAAGAAAATTTTGTCCTTATGATTTACAGCTCCACACACAGTACACCCACCATCAGAATCTTTCTTCGTGGATTTTGTAGATGCATACCTCCTTTCAAATCTATTTTCAGATTTATCTACCTTTTCTGTGACTCTGAGCTGTTCAAGTTTCTCAAGAACATCTTCCTGTCTTCTTAAAAACTCCAACAGGAGGTCAAAGTGATTTTCTGGAGTCACACCATTGTTAGGGTCAATCATGAAGAAAAGCCAGTCTCTTTTCACAAATTCAGGCAGTTTACTCTCAATAGACTTGATTACAAGAGGGTTCTTAATTGCACCAATGTTCCCCAGATCTGTCAGGTCAGATAGAGCTTTTTCTACAGTCTGGATCAAGTCTATCACTTTTCTGGGTTGATTGCCCTTCACACTCGGAAATCTTTCCAGTTCTTCAATAATTTCCATGGCAATTGTTACCTTGTTGCCAAATCGATTTTCCAGCACTCGAAACACATCCTCTCCGTTGCTGTAACTTGACAGCCTTAGGTCCTTAACGATTCTTTCATCCAAACTGTCCAGGAGCTGGATTTTCTTGACCTCTACTGATCCAGTTGGTTCACCTTGTTTTTGCAAACTTTCCCAGTCCTTCTTCCAACGGAAGAAATCTCTTTTCATACCACCAAATCTAGGCAAACTTGTTGGTCTTATCCTCACAACTGGTGTAATTGGCACTGTTTGAAGACCCGTGTTTGGGTCTAAAGGACCTGCAAATTGAGAACTTCTTTCAGCATTACGTGCAGTAATAAACTCGCTATTTCTTGAAACAAGTCCATTATTCTCTACTTTTAACCTCTTTACTCTGCTCTCAAAGTCCTTCTTCTCTCCTGTAGGAATCCATCGCTCCCAGCTGGATAGTGTCTTGACTGCTCTACTCACAAGCTTTTCCATGTGAATTAGATGAACTTCATATCCTTCACAATTGACACCAGCAACAGGTATTGAAGCAGAATGATCACAAGCTTTCTCAGCTTCCTGGACTGCAACAGTCAATTCCTCTTGGCCATACCTCTGCCACAAGTTGATTTGGACGATTTTTCGCACCTCTTCGAGCTTTGTCTCACAATCATTAACAGTCTTCTCAATATCTGCTACCTGCTGCATTTCAAGCTCCACTTTCTCATCACTCTTTGCTTTAGCTTCCAGCTCTGCCAGCAATCCCATGTTATAGTCATCATTTGCATCAAAAAGTGCTCTTGCACTAGAAGAGAGTTTCTGGAATTCCTTCCTGAGTTCAGACTCAATCATTTGGCTTGACTCTCGAATGAGAAGATTGGCTTGCTTTGTAACACACATCTTTGCAGTGGTTCTCTCTCGCTTAAGTTGGTCCACTGTTTTCCCCAAAGCTTCTTCTGCCATCTTGTTTCAAGTCACAAAGATACGTCTTCTTAAACACCTCAATTTACTGATGACTTGTTTTGACAATGTTGATTCCTTCACACCACCTTTACTTTCTGGACCATCAGAAGCCTTTAATCTTCTTATCCACAAGTGGTTATTAAGTGTCAAGTTATCTGGGTTTTTCTTTGCCTCAATGTCTGCCCAAACTTGAAAAAGGCCTCAATCAACTCTGAAGGTGCATGGAATAACTCAAACCATCTGGTTCTTCATCATAGAAGCAGTTTATTGAAAATCTCTCATCATTGACTAGATCTTCTTTTGTACTTGTCTCAATGATAATTCCAGAAGGTTAGCTTAATAACCTACACAGAAACAGATATGTGATACGAGTCACTACAAAGTGCAACAAAAGTACAAACACCATTGTCAAACATTCACAATTTACACAGCAACTCAACAGCAATGTAAATAAAGAAGCTTGTTATGCAGTTAGAAAGTAAAATGCTAAACTACTAGCATTAAACACCTTTCAAACATACACAAAATATGTAGTCATTAAATAAAAATAAGTCTTTGTCCTACCAGTTGCATCTCAAAGTTGATGAAACATTGTGGCTTTTCAACAGTCTTTCTCCTTTGGTATTTTGAACACCAAAACCCACCAACTTCAGTAGGAGAAGCACATTTACTGCAAACAAAGTTCCCTCTTGCTCCCAGTAATCACACACACCTGGTGGAGTTTCAATGACCAATCAGCTACCTTGATTCTCCCAGGTTGCACATGATGTGCTCCCAACCAATAGGCTGCACTCATTTTGATCTTAAATCTTCTTTACCAATGATGAATTTATACTTTTTAACCATGTCTCTTTTTTTTCCTTTTTTTTTTTCTTTCTCTCAAATTCAACTTAACACACACACACACTTTCTGCGAGGCAGCGGCTTCAGAAGTCCACGCGCTCAGAGGGAACTTCAACACACACTTCGACGTGCGCGCCTCTCTCTCTCTAGTGCGCATACACACACTCCAGCTTGAGAGAGAGAGAGAGCGCGCGCGTCGAAGTGTGTGTTTGTGTTAAAGTTTCCCTCTGAGCTCGTGCACTTCTGAAGCCGCTGCGCGCAGCGAAATAAGAAAATACCACGCAGAGGACTGACGCGAAATGTGTGGAAATCCATTTGATTGTAGTTTAATTGAGAAATAAATTCAGTGCTCTGGTCAACCGCTATAGAGTGAAAACTGATTAAAGTGGTGGAAAATAATGGTTGATGGACATAGAACAGTAACAATTAAACACCCATGCGTGAAGTCAAAATACATCATTAGTTTAAATCGATGATTGTGTGTGTGTGTGTGTGGGGCGGGTAGGTATGATTACTATTAAAGAGTTTGCATATTTACTTTTCTTGAAAATATTTAGCTATTAGATCTATTTAATGCTTCAGTTTGTTTTCAATATTATAATAATATATTATGTGCACAAATTGAAGCATTTAAACTGATGTATAATATCACTTCAAATACTTCAATTCGTTTTTTATATTATATTAGGCCTCTTTGTATTATATTATGAGCCTGAATAAAGAATCTAACAAAGGTATTGTTTAGGTTATATTAGGCCTATATTTTATTATATTTTAAGGCTAAATAAAGAACCTCACAAGGGTTGTTTAGGGCTCATTGCCAATAAAAGTTTGAAACCCCTTGCTAAAGAAATATTGGAAATTCATAAGCAACAACAACCATTTAACTTTGATGGTTTAATGCTTCCTGTACACAATTCATTGACTGTACAAAAACACTTTATGGTTTTCCCAAACCATCTGTGTAACAGCTTTCTTTTCTTCTTACTATATTCTTTTATTGTAAAGAATTGAACTGTCCTGCAAAAGATTTTGTAAATTATTTTTCATAGTATTTATTGGTAAAGACTGTACAGTTAACAGCACTGGAAAAAAATATCAGAGAACCTAAAATGTGCTTCATCTAGTGACTTCTTAATTAACTGCTTGTTTTTCACAAATATGATTTAATATCAATATGTTACATTAAGGGTCAAATAAAATGTAAATGGCACATTCAAGTTAAAAGTTACAACTGAATGTTGAAAACATTGTGTTTCTACATATGATGTGCAGGTCAGGTATAAAGAATATTTTTGCTCAGGTGGTGAAAAAATAGAAAAAATTGCACACACTTCATATGAATTTTCAGTGTTGTGTACTTATGTAATGTGTCCGTTAAATCCATGAATGTCTGTAGGGTGTCTCATTTTTCATTTTAGGTTTCAGAAGGTTGCTCACGCATACATTTTGGTTGATATGTGTCCTCGATGCGCACTTTTGCAGAGCCCACACTGTTGCAAGCTCTACGGCACACTTCTTTTCGACAGTCAAAGCAGTGTTACGTTTGTGCACAATAACCCTAAAGGCACCAGGGTGGCGGTGCCACCGGCTATATATATATATATATAAATATAGCTGCGAGCAGCGATGAAGGGCCAAAGGCGGTGGTACCGCCACCTCGGAGCCTTTAGGTAACTAAAGGCACCGGGGTTGCGGTGCCACCGGCTTGGGCCCGCCATCGCTGCTCGCAGCTATATTTTGAGTTGAATTCAAAGGGTTATGAATGAAATTGAGTTATTTTGAATTGAAGTTGAAAGAATGTGAGGAATGTGCTGACATTACTATTTATTTATTGATCAAATCTAGAAAATCTCCCAAAAATTGCATAAAAACCCCTATCAAAATGAAATAAATTAAGCTTTCTGATTTTTTTTTTTTAGATAAAATTTTAGGGTGAGGAAAGGATGAGGATTAAGAGCCCTGCCGTAGATTCATATTTAGTATGTGGATCATACAGTCAGCTGTCAGAACAGATGTTTTCATTTGTTTGCAGTATTACAGCTGGTGGAGTAGCTACACAGAAGCCATCAACTACCTGATGACCGTTCCCAAATATCGCATCCAAGCCGCCGAACTGGCCAAGCAGCAAGGGCTCCTGAACCGAACCAAAGAGAAGGGGAAGAACCGGCGATCCAAAGAGGAGATCCGCGAGGAAGAGGAGCAGATTATCCGCGACATCATCAAGAACAAGATCGACATCAAAGGTGGCTATCAGAAGCCCAACGTCTCCGACATCCTGCTGTGCAAGATCATTCTGTTCCCGTACCATCTGTGCACCTTCGTGGCGTGGCACTGCTCCTGGTTCTACCGCTTCTCCATCCGTGGGGAGGAGTACGGGCACGAGGAGAGACTGTACATCATCCGCAAGAACATGAAGATGTCGCAGGCTCAGTTTGACAGTCTGGACAGCGGCCTGATAGAGACTTTCCTGAAGCAGCAGCTCTGGATCAAAGACAACTATGAGGTTTGGAGAAGATTTCTTCCGTCTCGGGCGGCTTAAAGGGATAGTTCACTGGGAAATTAATGTTTGGTCATGTTAGGCTCAGTCACACACATATATGCATGCATGCACAAAAATGCATACACACACACATGCATATATATTAGGGCTGTCAAATGATTAATCTTGATTAATCGCATCCAAAATAAAAGTTTTTGTTTACTTAATATATGTGGGTGCACTGTGTATAATTATTCTATATATATATATATAAATACACACACATGCTTGCATATATTTAAGAAATATTTTCATGTATATACTGTATAATTTATATTGTATATAAATATAAATATTTTATATTTAAATAATATTTTTTCTTAGATATACATGCATGTGTGTGTGTGTATTTTATATATATATATATATATTTGTCTATATGTATATATATATATATATATGTATATGTATGTATATATATATATATACATGTATATGTATATGTGTGTATATATATATATATATATATATGTGTGTGTGTGTGTATATATATATATATATTTATTAGGGCTGTCAAACGAATAATCGCATCCAAAATAACTTTATGTTTACATAATATATGTGGGTGCACTGTGTATAATTATTTTGTATATATATATATATATATAAATACACACACATGCATGTATATTTACAAAAAATATTTATATATAAAATATTTATATTTTATATAATATAAATTATATATCAATCTATATACATTATATACATGAAAATATTTCTTTAATATATATATAAGCATGTGTGTGTATTTATATATACAAAATAATTATATTTTATTATTCGCGATTAATCATTTGACAGCCCTTTTATATATATATATATACACACACACACACACACATATACTTGTATATTTCTGTGCATGCATACATGTTTTAAATTTACATATTTTTCTGTAAATAATTTAAAATGATTAAAACTCAGATCCCCCAGCAGCCCTATTAAATATTCAGTATAGAAACATTCATAATTACGTGATTACTCAGTGGTCAAGGTGTTTTTCATCAGTGATCTGGAGTGTGTGGTGTTGTTAGTATGTGTGTGTTTAGGACCTCAGACAGACTGATGATACTGTGTGTTTGTGAAAGGCCTACCGAGAGGAGCAGGAGGAGGAGATGAAGATGAAGATGGCCACGGACTCGCGATGGAAACGCTACAGGCGCTGGATGAGGAGCGAGGGTCCCGGACGTATCACTTTTGCAGATGATTGACCACACACACACACACACACAGTGTGTGTAAAAACACTCGTTTACAATGGACTGGCGATGTGCACCTGATTTATAAGGATGCCTTTTCTCAGATGATATAAGACTGTAAAGGCGATTTGATTGTACCTATGGAGGGTCATGTGACGTCTCCATGTGCATAAGAGGATCATTTGAGACCGTTTTTTTGAAAAATAACCGTCTTAAAACATCATGTTGTTGTTAAACCCGGACGAATTTAATCACAGGCTAGAGAAACGGTTTGTAAAATGCCACATTTCATTCACTGAAAGACTGCGTCTGTTCTTTCTTCTACATGTCTGCTATAAATGTTGCGTCTAATCCTATGCTGTATCTCCAAGCCTTTTATTTGCATATATAAGGTCATATCTAATTGTTCCGTTACATGGTACTTTAATAAAGTTTTATATTAGAATATTATTTATATTATTATATTGTTCTCTGTGCATACACACATATGCATGTATATTTAAGAAAAAAATATTATTTAAATATAAAATCTTTATATATATATATATATATATATATATATAAATTATTATATATAAATCTATATACAGTATATAAATGAAAATATTTCTTAAATATATACAAGCATGTGTGTGTGTATATATATATATATATATATATATATATATATATCCACATATATTATGTAAACACAAACTTTATTATGTAAACACAAACTTTTATTTTGGATGCGATTAATCACAATTAATCGTTTGACAGCTATTATATATATATATATATATATATATATATATAATAGTTCAAATTCATTTCCTTTTAACGTTTTTTTTCCGTTCAGGATTCATTCTCTAGAGGGGACAACTATACTATTAGGAATATATTTTAGAAAGATGCACAGAGAGAGAACGGTATTTTCTCATGTAATTTGAGTTTCATGCAGTTAGGAATAAAATTAAAAATTATTTGTGTGTCGCTTTGGATAAAAGAGTGCAAAATGTAAAGTTATGAAAGTTTGCAGTTTGTTATGGCTTGCATTTGACCAATTCTCTCGTTACAATAGTTTTTTTCTCAACTGTAATAGACAGTTGTACCCAGAATATGAGTGCACAGTTCAGAGATAGGACGTTTGATCCACATCACCACTTGAGGTCACTATTGCGATTACCAGTCAGTCATTTTTTTGAATGAAGGGGAGACTGAAACCATAATGTCTCAGTGGCCACTATAAGGTGCTCGTGTATATAAGTCACTATAAGGTAACTTATTTGGTTAATATGATCAAAGATGGCTGTAAAAAATAAATCTGCATTGTTTATCCTTTTGATATTTTAGTTAAAAAAAATGCAAAAATCTGAACTTTTATTGAAGTAAAAGAATTGAAAGTGGGGGGGAAATCACATTATGAAATAAATGCTTTTCTCCAAAACACATTGGGAACAATTTTACCCCCTTTTATGAAATAGTTTTTGCAACGATATAACAGCTCTTCTCCTATAATGCCGGATGAGTTTGGAGAAACAGTGACCAGAAAGTTTTTGTTTTCAACTTATTTTGATAGTCCACTAGATATTCTACTAACTATAAGTAATTTTTCAACTACATGTCAACTTATTAGAGTATTAGTAGAGTGTTTTACTGCCAGTAGACTGTTCTATAGAACCTTCAAAGGTTCTATCAGCGCTACATATTTGGAACCCTTAAAAGGTTCTATATAACCCTTTTTAAGGGTTCAATAATAAGAACCCTTTAGTGTTCTTTGTAACCAGGAAAAAGGTTCTACATGGAACCTATTGGGTTCATTCATTATCATTTGTTTTGTCCTTTCCGGATTAAATATTTCATATTATTGACAAACATCAAGACCCTAAAATGTATTTATGAATGCATGTGAATGATCACAAAATTCAGGATATGGGGGTTAGAAAATGTATATATTTATATCATTTTACGTAGTTTATCAATATCAAGAGTTCCATTTCAGCTCTCCTCCAAAAATCAGCATGATTAAAATGTGATATTAAGTTACTACAACAGTTTAATAAACAATCATTTAATTACAACAACAAAATGTTGCAGGATAATGTAATATAATGTAATATATGAATGAATAATATAGCCTATAAAGAACCCTTGTGCCAAAAGGCTTTTTCTTTTTTATTATAAAAGGTTCTTTGGAGGTGAGTAAAGAACCCAATGATTCAACCCCTTTTTTTAAGAGTAAGGTTAACGTTAGGTGTTTGGGTTCGGGTTAGTAGAATAAGTTGACTTGTAATGTCTGTTGAGGAGCATAAAAAAGTGTTAGCAGATATTCAGCAGACTTTACTAATACTCTAATAACAGTTTGTTGACATGACTAAAGTGGACTAAACATATTTAGATATACGGGAAATCGCAATGACGATTTCGATATATCTAAATATGTTCAGTGCAAGGTAAAACTTCCGAAATCTCCGTGTAAACAATGCTTGACGTAAAGGCGCGAGAGATCACTTCCGGCGTAACGTCTAGAGACGGTTCACTTCAGTTCGGTTCAGTTGGACATCTGATTCATCAGTTCGACGGCTGTTAACAAGAGGTAAAAACGATATAAATACTGTTCGTTTTCTCACACAAACCGCTCGTTACGTGTCTCAGGCCATTCACGAGTCATTAAATCATGTTTAATTTTGACTTCTCTTAGTTCTCTGTGCTCTTTGAGGTGAACCGAGGGAGGACCCCCAACCTCCAGTGTATGACTGACAGACAACAACGGTTTGACCAAAAAATGTCAAAATTGAAAATGCTGTGGAAACAAAGACACCTAAGTTACATCTTGGATGCCCTTGAGGTAAGCTAAAACATATCAAAAATTAATTTCAAAGTGAACTATCCCTTTAAGTGTTCATTTGTAGCAGAGATGTGTATGTTGCTTGTGTAAAAAAAATAAATAAAAAAAAATAAAATAATAATAATCTAAAAAAAAAAAATATATATATATATATATATATATATATATATATACCAAGGGTGGAAATAATTCTGACCAGCACTGTATGCATCTGAACACATATTTCGCAGAATTCGCCCAGAAATATTATACAATTAATGCTTGTGAATGGCAAGAATTCAGGTTGATTCTGCGAAACATGTGTCACGATAATCCCCCAAAGTCTTGCTTTTCACTATGCATGTGTTTGTTAATCATAAATCAATCTCATGAATCCCAGAACTTAGAAGAATTCAGATGTTCATTGATTAGGGCACGTTTACACGACAACGATGTACTAAAAATGGAAAAATTGTCCTTTTCCAACATAAATTCACATACAGATGACAACGTAGTCAAAACAATAAGCCTACTGATCACATGGATCCACGAAAACGACTAAAAATCTGGCTGTGTTCTGCTACCAGGCCAGTAGAGGGCGATGTCCTGCTATAAAAAACACTAGGCGACTGAACACGTAAAACACTCGCATTTGCGTTTTTGTAGTTTTCATCTAAGAACAGAAAACTACAAGGCTAGGCAACATCGTTGTCGTGTAAACTTACTCTGAGACATCAGATACATGTCTAGCCTATCTGTTTCACTTTGTGTTTGAGACTCAGTAGACTTTCATAATCACGCTACTGCAAACTGCAACGCCTCAAAGCCTCATTTGAAGTTTACTGTGAATTGCTAAAAGAAAAATATAAATGTGATGCTAATATTATCAGAAAATATAGGTTTTTATGTGTAGGCTAGTGCCAAATCATTTTTAATTTTTCAGCTCAGGATAATGTAACTGTGTGTCAAAGCTGTTATAAAAGTAGGCTGTGTCCGTCAGATGAGATCTGAGATTATTGTTGATGGTTTGGTGTTTTCCAGCTTGTTGGGAGGATTGAATGACGGAGTGTGTGTGTAATCAGGATTAAAGTCTCTCTCTCTCTTCTACTGTAATTCAGGTCAGTGGCAGGTCAGTATACCAGCACAAACACATCAATCTGCTGAAAACAACACACAAAATATGCACTGAAGATGGTTGAGCATGATAAATGTAATTAAGCATAGTAAACACAAATGACAGGCAAGCTTACATTTAAAATAGTTTTGTAACAAATAAAATATATGGTCTGTTACAAGTCTGTTCTCATAAGATGCAAAAGGGATATTGTAAATGCAAAATAAACATGCAAAATATGTTAACAGTGAAATCATCATCTACTACTATATACGTACAGGAAAATGAGCATGTTTTGGTGGATAGCCTCCAGATCCCTTTTCTCTTTCTTCCTATCGGTGGACAGAGATTTGACCATATGTCCAAATCATACGCTTGCTTCATTAAAACAGCTTAAGCCTTAACTGTACTTAAAAGAAATGAGGGGAAGTCTTTCAATGTGGATAATCGCACATGTTCAGTATGGGTTGCCATCCGTCATTGATAATGTACATTATTGTACCTAAGTTGAAAGTATGAATCCTTTATTGATTTGTCCTTGTGCTATGATTATTGGTCTTTATAAACGCAGAGTAAACTTGCTCGTAATTTACCCCGGGTCAACAGTTTTTATGCGTTTTGACTGTTCATTTAAAGGAATAGTTCACTTTTGAAAAAACTTTTGCTCATAATTTACTCACCCCCATGTCATCCAAGATGTCCACGTCTTTCTTTCTTCAGTCGAAAAGAAATAAGGTTTTTGATGAAAACATTCCAGGATTTTTCTCCATATAATGGACTTCAATGGGAACCAAACGGTTCAAGGTCCAAAAGAAACTTTAAGTACAAACTGCAAACTTGTTCAAAGGGCTTTAAACGATTCCAGACGATGAATAAGGGTCTTATCAAGCGAAACGATCGCTCGTTTTATAAATAAATAACAAAGTTTAAGTTTTATAAGCTCAAACGCTCGCCTTGCTCTGTTCTGTACCGCACTCCTGTTCGAACTCGTTCATCAAATGAACAAATCTTTTTCCGAGTCATTTAGTTCATTCGGCGAAAGAAACGAACAAAAATGATTCGGAAAAAGATTAGTTCATTTTGTTGAACGAGTTCGAACAGGAGAGTCACGAACGTGCACGGAGGTTGTCTACAAACCACGCTTTGTCACGAAAAATCACGCGATAAAACGAACCGGAAATGACGCGAAACAGCACGCGCCCCAATAC